TACTTAAGTGCAAATTATTATTTATTAGATATTTATTCTGCTCATACATTTTGGGCAAAATTATTATAACAGAACGTAGTCAACAATAAATGATTGCCCTATCACTAAATCATTTATTTAAAATACGTTTTAATTCTGCTGGAAATGTATTCCAGCATATGTACCAGACTGGATCCAATTTTTTTCACCAGAATGGGGCAAAATCCAATCCTACCCCATTTAAATTTATTTGCCCCCTCCCTCTCATTTTATTCTGATGACTATAGTGTTTCATACCCTCCTTCAATTAATATGATTTCTAATTTACAAAGCCTTTACTAAAATAAGAAGACTGTTTAAAAAATGTCTTTCATATATTTCCAATTTATCTGATGTTAACATGTAATAAACATAATAGGCAACAACATTCTTTTGATGAAATTAAAATGATATTTTCTTATCAATATTAACATTGTCAAGCTAACCCATCATTAACAAACCATATAAAAAAAATATAATTCTATCATTAACGTTTTAAGAAACCCTCCTTTATTTGCTGGTTGAAAGAATAAAGAACTTTCAAACAACTCTCTTAATCAATTTTAAAATTTTAGCAAAATTTTTATTAGATTAACAATGATGTTTTTTGTGAAGGAAATGCCTGTCAAATTGGTCTAGAGCAAAGGTTGATACCTAAATCTGATTGCATATTTGAAAATCTACAAAAGAAAGAAAACATAATTTTAACAGTGAATACAATAAGAATTGATTAAGTTGTCGAAATTTGGTTAGGGATAAATAAACAATACTTCTTAAAAGTATTGAATTATATGAATAAACATTTAATCTTTTTTATTTTGGTCTATAATTGTATTTATTGTGCATATGTTGTGAAAAAAGCAAACTAGATGCATATTTTGTATTTTTAAAAAAAAATCCTTCGGGCCGGATTTGAACCAGCGACCTATGGATGACTATTTATTTAATCTACAGTCCACCGCTCTACCAACTGAGCTACCGAAGGATATGCTTCATTGTACATAAAAAGTATAATTAAATGTTGTAATAAATCTATTATATCTTGTGAATTTTATTTGATGTTTTTATTTTATGCATATTTTACAAAATATAATGTTAAAATATAGTCATGCTCTCGTTTAAGCGATATCGTCGTTTTTGTGCTTTCTATAAACATTAAAATAATATTTACATATGCTTTTCTAAATATCATTGCAAATAATACTTTTATCACTCATGTCATGCTGTCACTCCTAATCACAATTATAAGCTACAATATAAATATTAGTAAATATATCAAATTTTTAATTTAAAAATTATTTATTAACATAAACATCTTTTATAAGTACAAATTTACTATTAATTATTTATCTATGAATATAATTACAAAAAAAGGGATGTGTATTCTAGTTATTGTGTCTTTTAAGAAAATACAACATTATTGTTATATATACTTAAAAAAAGGTATAGAAATATGGCTTTCCAGTATGATAATAATATTGATGCATCAACACTTTAATAGGAGATTAAAAAAGCCCAGAAATCACAACATTTTACAATCTGACCAAAGCTGGAGATGGCCAACTGTTCAATTTATTCATTGTTGAAAAGATCAAATTGATAGCCTTTGAAAATATAACATCAATAAACTTTTATAATTTAGAAATCCAATAATTTAAAATTTATTAATTAGCGATGGAGCTCATGAATTCATTAATAGACAGTAGATTATGAAAATTCTTGTGTTAATATATTATTAAGGGATAAAATATGGAATATTCTCAATATAAAGGAATTTAAACATATTCTACAAATCAAAGAGAAAGGGGATCTTGTTCGTGGTGAAGGAAAAGAAAACTACATTAATTTTTATAAATTTAAAATTATGAGTATAATAGATCCTACCTGTATAATTAAATGAGTTCTGGGTTAAAATTATGATTTACATAGAGGCTTGTAGATCCTCCTATACCAATCTCTAAGTTAATCATGACACACTGAGCCCCCCCCCCTTTCATAACTAAAATATAAAATCATTTAATGATAAAATGGATACTTACTATTATGTTGACAATTACCCCTGAAATTTTGACACCATTGCATTGGATGACCCTGTATTTGAGCGCCATGCAACAATGTAATATTTATGATAACTGAACATCTGGTTATATTAATTATTTTATTGTGCAGGTCCAACAAATGTTCTAGATCAGGCACATGTACACTAAGGTTTCAGATTTACAGTATTCACACTTTCTAACCCTATTAGCCAAATATAGGGTTTGTAACCAAATGATTTTTCATGTTTATTTGGAGATAGCTTAGTCCTTCAAATCTTCTTTTTGCCTGTCCCTCATGGGCCTCACTCAGTAGAATTAACAAATAATAAAAATTACTCCAAAAATTTAAATGATAAAGACCTATATATAGATAGTTACTGAGTTACTTTATTAAAAAATTATATATTTTTTAATCACAAAGTGTTTTTGGAAAAGGTAAAGTAAGTTTTTAATTTTGAAGAGGTCATTTAAAATTTTGATATGTTCACTAAATTAATGTAAGTTTATACAAAAAAAAAATAGGTTAGGGTAAAAATTGATTTTCAAGTTTAATTTTTTATCGATAAAAAACATCAATATAGATGACATGTAAATTATTTAAAATAACCTGATCAGATGCTGATATCAGCCAATCCAATTTTTAATAATGACTTATGGAAAAATGTTTATTAGGTATAGAATAAACAAAAATATATCAATAAAATAAATATACATATAAAGTAAAGCAAATATAGACTATTCTAATTTAACAAGAAAATTATTTTTAAAATTTGAACGATTCAATTCAATATTAACATTGTATCATCATTTTGTTATATCGGATCCAATTTAACGAAATCGAATAACCGTACAAATATACATGCCAACAGCATTATCCGCAGCGGCGATTCTTTTTTTAAAACAATCGACTGGCATCGGCGAATCGATTTAGTCAAATATTTTTTAACTTTTTATTAAAATTATAAATTTAGAAACACTTTTAAAATAAAATTTATGCTTTATTATGTTTAACTATAATTTAATGATTTTATTAATTTATAATTATCATTTATAAATATTATTTTATTTAGATTCATAGGAAATTAATGATATTTTAGAGTTCAGAGTGAGTCCAGATATGGATAATACACACTCGTTGGGTCTGCTCTCATAGCTGAAACGCACAGGACCCTTCTAGATAATATTGAAAGTTTAGGAAGATCCAATTTATCTTCCAAAAATCTAAGTTATCTTTTATCTCTAAATTATAAGGCGAAAATAATGAATAACACTTTCTAGACTAGTTAATTTATTCAAGACCATTGTTATGAATAGATGAATGTTTCGTAGCCAATGACTTAAGATAATCGAATTCTGAAGCAACTTTCGTCATTTAACATTCAGTTAATTTGTCGGTGTAAGGCAACAGAGAGGTAGCTTGTTGACATAAAAATTTCACCGGAGTAATATTTTTTCCTTCAAATATTCATTTACTATTATAGATTGAAGAGGATCCAATAATGCTCCTAACACTTAAGTAAAAAAATAAAAACAAAGAAATAATATTTCAAAAAAACTAATTTATATATTTAAAATACTCCTGAAGATCGTTATTGGAAATCTATGATCAATTAGTAAGCATAGGGATGCTATGGGAGGACCATCATATTCTTTTACAATTAAATGATTTTTAATTTCATTACGAAATAATAAGGATAAATTTATAGTAACTCCTTTTTGGACGGATAAAAATTCAACAGTTTTTTGAAGGTTTTAAGAAAATTTAAAAGTTCTTGCACCAAGCCCCAATCGGAGTTAAATAATTTGAGATTCGGTTTCTCCATTCTATTTAATAGAATATTAATAGGATTTTTGTTAATTTTAAATTTTTAGATATTTCTTCTTTACATGATAAGTCATGTAAATGTTTTATTATGTTTGATGTGTTGATATTTTTTGAAAAAGATATGATTGGGTAACTAATTAAAAAATTCGCAATTATTTTAAAAATAATCAAAAAATTTACTCTGAAAATGAAGAATTATTTTCATCCTCACTATTTTTATCAAGTGCTATTTGCAAGCATTAAAAGACTATCTGCAGCAACACTAATTCTCTTATTATTTGTGTTAGTTTTTAATATTAAGGATCCATAATGTTTCCATGCAAAAGAAGGTTTTACTTTCAATGATATATTATTGTATTTTGTTACAGGGTATTGCAATGCTGCATCCATTATAATTGTTTTAGTCCTGTTATGTTTATATAAGTTATAATGGCAATAAAATAAAAATCATTAATTAAAATCCTTTTATGATAAAAAATAAATATGATGAGTTGTAGATTGCATTAAGAAAATATTGTATTACTCCATAATTTAATGTCTTATACAAAATATTTAAAGCATCAAAAATTAAAAGAATAAAATATATAATAATGTTTCAATACCTTTTCTGTAAATTACTAGCCAAATCTTATCTTATCTAGCACGTATATGGATTGTTACAAATCAAATGTTTTGCAAATAATATTTATTAATTTTAAAAAATAAAATCGTATTTTTTAATAATTCAAACAATATTTTATATTATTTTTTTTCTAATTACAATTCATAAATAATATATAAAATAAATATTATTTTTAATTATAAAAAATATGTATCACGCTGCCGAATTTTTACATCAGCGGCGGCGTGTCGAGCGCCGACACTTTTTGGCGTCGGCGTGGTCAAAATTAGGCGGCGGCATACATATCTACGTACAAATAATCTGGTTAACACCATACTAAAAAATTATTAAGTCCAAAATATTAAATAGGATTCATAATAAAAAGTAAATGGGTATTAAAAATAATTTTTTAAATATATAAAAACATTTTATTTTTGTTTTTGCGATGGTATTACTAGTTGTATTTGTGATTTTTTTTCATTTGTATTTATATTTTATTTAAAATGTATTTAATAAGGTATATGACCAAATGCCTGATCCAAAATGGGTGATATCAATGGGAAGCTGTGCCAATGGGGGCGGTTACTATCATTATTCTTATTCGGTTGTCAGAGGCTGCGATAGAATCATACCTGTAGACATATATGTTCCAGGTTATTTATTTACTTATTTTCATAGTTGATCAGTACCACGAATACCTGTGTAATGGATTCTTACATTATCTTTGTTGTTTTTATCTCTTACCACTCTTTTTATTTTAAATTATTATTAATTTTGGTCGTAATTTCCATTTGCTGATTTTATTTGTTTAAATTTTTTTAATTTATGCAAAGTATATTCTTGAAATATCATGTGTTTACTAGTGTTTTAGATAATGTAGAAATTTTTTTAAACAATTTAGATATATTTTTGGATAGTTCCTCTTGAGGATTAAATTAAACCCTAGAATTTGATGTCATTTATTTACTCGATCAGTTTATTTAAACAATCAACATATATATGATGTTTCTTTCTCTATGTATTTCTGGTTATCGGAAAATAATTCCCATAGAAAAACCTTCAATTTTTTTCTCTTATGAGAAGGGAAATTTATTTTTGATTAACTCTATATTGATGTTTCATATAATATATATTTGTATGGACTGTAATTTTTTTTAATAACTCATCCATCTCAAATTATTTTTTTATCATTTCGAATTCCCATTATTGCAATATTTTGTTAAACTTATAATTATATATTTAAATTTTATCTTAAAAACATATTAGGTTGTCCTCCGACAGCCGAGGCCTTATTATACGGTGTTTTGCAGCTTCAAAAAAAAATAAAGAGATCTAAAATGGCTGAAATGTGGTATAGGAGATAGAGAATCATTTTCTTTGAAAATACCCCAAATATTAAATTAAATAAAACGAAGAAAATATTTATATTATAATCCTTTATAGGCTGATAATTTTTTAAACACCAATAAAATTTATTCCTTCTACGCACAAAACGCATATTTTGATATTAGATATTATTAATATTTCCATATCTGCATATGTATCACAATTTATATACATTAATAATATTACATGTTATGGATTGAAAATTGTTTGACCCCTTAGTTTTAGATTATATATTATATTATCTATTTACAGTGAAATAAATAAATTAGTATGATTCTCTGGATAAAAATATTATATAATGATAATTTTTATAGACACACCAATACCAGGTGTTATCCATCTGGCCATGCCTCTAGTACTGGCCAATACCAATATTAAATTATTTTTGATCTTTATTTAATGAATCTTATTATTTATTAACTTTTCTATAATTTTTTTATTTTCGCTGGTTTGCGTCTTTCTGAATACGCCTAACCCTGAATTCATAATTAGCGCGAATTAGCTGCAAGTATACAATATGCTATGTTTTTATATTCTTTACCGCGTCGCGCTCAATGTGAATTCAGAGTAGTAAAATATAACATTTATAGTTCACGCCGAAAAAATATTCATGGTGATAATAATGAAAAATTATTTTTTATTAAAAAGAATCTACCTGTTTTAAAATTCATAATTAATTAGTAATATAAAATATAATAACATTATTTATTAAATTTAAAAAAAATATTGTTTCGATTTGGAAAGTGTGGTGGCATCAGAAATTCCTATCAATTTATACAACTAGGCGGACCAAGGATATTGATGAATTTTGATATATCGTATACAGGTAATGAAAATATAAATGAAATTCCCCTATACGACAGAACAAGGGCATGTTTAAATCTTAAGATTAAATCGCCCTAAATAAAGTCATATAAATAATGTGTTAAATAAAAATATAGTCTGAAATTTTTCTCCCAAAATCGTCTAGAATTAATTTAAGTTTATTATTTCGTAATAAAATTATAAGTTTTTTTTAAAAAACATAATGCAAAAAAGAATATCTGTTAGAGCTCATCATTTTCAGAGAGATTATAACATACAAATTTGCTAATTTTTTAAATATCTTGAAAGTTCAGTTGTAAACTTCCCAATTTTCACCAGGTTCGATCTACAGCACGGAATAAATTTATCGAAATCAATTTCTTAGGCACCTTAGTTTAGAAAAGAGCAAAGTTGTTAAACCCTACTTTTAAAAGTAGCGCGCTACCGCTATCGCTACCTATCAAAAAAAGTAGCGTGCTCTTAGCTACTATTTTTTAAAAGTAGCTTTGGCTACTTTTTATAAAAAAAATTTAGAAATAAATTGGTTTTATTTTTTGCTTATAACATAATTGCATAGTATATAATATATCAAAATCAACAGTAACAAATATTTACACATAGTTAGTTTTTATTATAAAAATATTTATGTAAAAAAACTATAATTTATGTAATAAAAATAATTATTTATGGTAATATTCAATTATTTATTTTGTTTCTATATTATCATCCCCAAGTCTAAAGCGACGACGAAAAAGTATAAGTTACGCCTTATTAAATAATCTCTCAACACTAGCACTTGAGCGCAAGGTAGTTTTTAATTTTATAATACTTTTAATCTAAGAAAAATTATCAAAATTACTTATTTGTATTTTTAGATTTAAAAAATGCGTCTAGAGGATTTTGAATTATATCAGCATCCTTTATTTCCAAAAAATATTCAATGAAAGTCATTTTTATGGTTCTAATTAGGACATCTGTCTGCTATCTCAATAAGTCAATGACATATATAATACCTAGACTGACGATTCATTCATTAAAATGCATTTTTAAGTGTCGTTAAAAGCAAATCAGCTGGACCTGCCATTTTGGTAACACATAGAGTAATTATTCTCATGTTAAAAACTACTATAAAATTGATAACTTGCTTCCTTATTATCTCGATGATCCGATAATTCTTTAATAAAGTTTGCAACAGATATAGGAATAAATTAGGCTCTCGTTTAAAATTTTAATAATGATTAATGTAACCAAGATGGCGTCTCCAGCTGATTTGCATTGATGTACACTTTTAATGAATGAATTGTCAGTCTAGGTATTATATATGTCATTGCAATAAGTAGTGTCTGACAACAAAAATTGTTGTTCCAGAGGATAGTTTTAATCATCATAGTAAATGATGGCTTATGGCTGAATTGTATCAATTATAAAATAGACAATAACTTTATCAGCTAGTTTCTGAGAAATATTGGCATGTGCAATATTTATTGTTAATCAATTTAGCTTGAATTCAATTGGTCTCTTTGAATGTAGTCTCCCCTATAACAAAATTATTAAGATGTTTTCTATCTCTTTAAAACTGTTGGCATAAAAATTCTTACAAAATAAAAATACCATTAGAATTTAAAAATAACAATTGCCTTTAGGTGTTTTTTGAGATAGCTACATTAAGGATATATTTTTTTTACAGTTTGATCAAATAAATTTCCACCTTTTGTTTTACATTAATTTGAAAATATTTTCAAATTTGAATGGAAAATTTGTATTATTGTTATCAAGAACATTTTACTCCAGGGTTCCTATCAATAATAATTTACACCAGATGATTTAGGTTTATATTACAAATTGAAAATATAAACTACAAATTGAAAATATAAATTACAATTTCAAAATTAAATAATTAATTATGATATTATATTTAAATTTTCATGTTTATTTACATTCATTATTTTTAAAAAGTAGCGCGTTAAAAAAATAAATAATTGGAAAAAAGTAGCGCGCTATTAGCTATAGCTACCAAAAAAGATAGCGCGCTACACTTAACAACTCTAGAAAAGAGAGTAGGGTTAAAAAGTTAGTGAAATATTAATTGGTTATGGTTAGTTTCCAATAAAAATTAGTTTATTAAAACTTAGTAATTATAAAATAAATTTGAATCCTGAACAAGTTTAATCATAGTTCAATTACCAAACTTTTAGTATTTTATAATATATAGGCGTGGCCAAGATTTTATTATTAGGTTGATTTTTTTCCTACAAATTTTATTGGAGATTTTTAAGATAACCTATTGTAGACCTTTGGTTATGTTACATTTTATATATAATTTTTTCCAAAAAATTAGAAATTTTAATCATTATTTGCAAAAATTATAAATGATTTAATTTCTTAAATAATCGTTTACAGTGTTATTTATATACATTTATGGGGGTATGTAGGGGAGGGATTTTTATTGGCTAATAATGATTTAACGAGAACATGCAAATTCTGAAGGGAGGGGATTTTAGCCCTCCATCCCTCTAGCCACGCCTATGTTATATATAATATTTTTATCTAAAAACATGTATTTAAATTTGATAGATAGATATTACAATAATTGTTCTCAGATTTTATAACAAAATTTTTCAGAATATATTTGAATCCTACAACAGCATTGTAATTTTTAATATTTAAAACTTATAGATGCAAAAGGCTTTCAAATTGAAAATAATACCAAACATCAAATTCATATTTAAAATAGCTCTTAGCATTCCCAATAAGATAACAATAATATATGACATTAAGAATCTAGATAAGAATGCTATATTTTTACTTGGCCAAAATACTATATCAGAACAGGGTACACTAATTTTTTAGAAAAAAACAACTGTAATCTCCTAAGCAAGGAAGACTCGTTGATGAAACCATTATATCTAGAGAAATAATGTGAACCGTTAAATTTTTGAACCAGTAATAAGGTAAAAGACTAGACCCTTCGAACCAAAGCGGCCAAGGGTGCTGGGTTTTAACTAGATAAAAAGATTATTATGAGGTAGATTGGAATATATATTGATTTTATTGATGGTCGATATTGAAATGTGGGGTAAAAATATTATCACAGAAAAATTCCATTAAGATTTTCCCACCTATTAGAGTAGAAAATTTTGTTTTGACACTACTAATAGATAAAATATTATTTATGTCAATGATAAATCTAGGAAGATTAGATACATTTATATAACATTTATATAAAGGTGGGACACCCTGGAGTTAGGAAGACATCTCTATATATCAGAAATGGCAGATCAATCCCTTCATTTGGAATAGTGATACTAAAATGAAAACATCTTTAGGATTTCTGAACTACATCCAACTTCTAACTCATCAAACCATTTTCGGTTTGAGCTTGCCATGCTCATCACAGGCATCGACTCAATAATCTTGTTCATTTTTTACAATATATTTTCGCATGGGCAGCTCCTTATCCATACCTTCTATATTATCAAGTTTATCCTTTCATTTCTCTATCCTTCAAACTCACCAGATAAATTACTGGGAAAATATAAATAAAAAGAACAATATTTCGAATTTTACAATAATATATATTTTAATTAAGCATTTTTATAAAAGCAGAATGGGCAATCACTTCAACAATCCATCGTCTTTGTTTACGTTTCTAATTGAAAATATTGTTTTGCAAATTAAAAATAGCATTTTCTTTTATTCCTTTTACATTTACAGAAAAGTCTTATTATCAACCATTATGATCAGTCTACACAACCATTCAAACTTAACATGAACCAAACCATCAAAACGGTATTAAAAGTTATTTTGAGTACCTAAACCTTGAACCAATTCTTATTGACCAAGAAATGTCTGTAAAAAAGGTTTAATATTTTAATTTAATCTGAAGCCTAACTATTTTAAATTAAAAATTAGGCGAGGCAGTTTAATGGGTATTGTTTTATTTTTTTAATCATTTATTAAGCGGATTTATATTTCAACTTAAAAATATGATTTTGCCCGTAATATATACCAATATATGTAGAATATCTACCAATAAATTTTAAAGAAATTGTATTGAGAATATTTGGAAAATAGATAGATGACAGACTTTCTATCTGTTTCTAATGTACAATAAAGGCTAATTAATATTTAATATATCATCTTCTTATACCACAATTTTAATAAACAAGTTAATACCATAGTTGGTAAACGCTACCTTTAAAAGTAGCGCGCTACCGCTATCGCTATTTTTTTAAAAAGTAGCGCGCTACCGCTATCACTATTTGTCAAAAAAGTAGCTCGCTATTAGCGATTATTTTTTAAAAGTAGCTTTAACTACTTTTTATAAAAAAAATTTACAAACAAATTTTTTATTTTTTACTTATAATGTATTGTATAGTAAATATATAAAAATCAACATTTATAAATATTAAAATATAGTTAGTTTTGATTATAAAAAAATTTATGTAATAAAAATAAATATTTATGGTATAATTTGTTGCATTTTAATAAAAGATCATTTCAATATTATCATCCCCAAGTCTAGGGCGACGATCAGAAAGTATAAGTTTTGCCTTATTAAATAATCTCTCGACACTAGAACTTAAGGGTAAGGGCGTATTTAAGCTTATATACTTATTTTTAATATAAGATAGATTATCAATAATTTTATTTGCAAGTACATCGTATGTCTGGCATCCCATTATCATTTTGAGGGCTAATGCCACAGATCTTCTTTTTAAAATTCTAGGGTCTAGCCAATGGCCTGTGATTCCCAAATAAGCTCAAAAATATTTAATCAGATCAATTTATAAATATAAACAAGTTTTTACCTTCTGTTATGTGTTCAACTATCTCCTGTGGTACATATATATGATATCTCTGATAACTCTACTATTAGAGCATCTTTCATTTTAAAGTTATCTGCTATTTTCATTAGTGCCTGCCAGCATAAAATTGTTGTACCAGGAGATAGAGTTTTAATCATCATGGTAAATGATGGATTATTAACTAAGGACATTGGCTGAATTGTATAAATTATAAAATCAACAATAACTTTATCAGCCAATTTCTGAGAAATATTATCATTTGCATTATTAATTAATTTGGTTTGAATTGAATTAGTCTTTTTGGATGTAGAGTCGCCTATACCAAAGTTATTTAGATGTTTCTCCATTTCCTTAAAATTCATGAACAGTCTTTAAAATAAATATTATTAGAATGTAAAATTGACAATTTACTGTTGTAATATTCGTTAAATTTGTACTTTATATTTAATTCGCATAAAGAGTTCTTTTGGATTTATTATTATAACGCGTGATAAAAATATTATATTTGAATAGTGAGAACTGAAAATAATTTAAGTTATGAATATTATTTATAAAGAAGATTGAAAAGAGTATAAAAACTCCAATTTTTACCATTCGACATGATCTTTTATAATTATTAACTTTTTTGTATTTTATTTTTATTTTTATTAATCTTTTTTTATTATTTTTACTTTTATAATTTTGTTAATTTGATAATGTTATAATTTTGAATAAAGAATTAAATTGATTTCGTGATTCCTAATTATTATTAATTTTTTTATATATATATTTGTTTTCTATTTTTATTTTTAGGTCTCAAAACCACCCACTTTCAACATTTACCTTTAGGTCTTTCTTGAGGTTATAGCTACTGGATTGATTTGAGGAAATATTTTTTTTACATTTTAAACAAATAAATTTGAAACCAGTTTTGGTTATATATTTATTTTAAAAAATTTTCAAATCTATGGAATGGGAAATTTGTATTATAGCTATTAAGAACATTTTCTTCCCTGGTATCTTCCATTTCATTAATATCATTGTCTGAATCACTTTCAACGATTTGGATATCCATAGGCGATGACATTTTAAATTATTAACACGTGATTTAGGTTTATAATACAAATGAAAATATAAATTATAAATTGAAATTATATTTTAATTTCAAAATTAAATAATAAATCATAAAAATTATAATTAATTATGATATTATATTTAAATTTTCATGTTTATACTTACCATTATATTTTTTATAAGTAGCGAAGTTAGCGGCTACTTAGCTACTTTCAAAAAAAGTAGCGCGCTAAAAAATTAAATAATTACAAAAAAGGTAGCCGCTATTAGCTATGCTACCAAAAAAGTTAGCACGCTACATGTAGCTTGTTACTTTAACAACTCTGGTTAATACACTCGCATCCAATTTTTAATTTTTCAACAAATTTGTTTATCAAAATATAAAACTTAAAAAATAAATACAATTTATTCTTAATAATTTTATTTCATAATATTAAAAGATTATTTAACAATATTTTAAATTAGGATTATATTGTAATAACTAATTTGAATGTGTTATTTTCGAAACTGGTCTATATGAAACAATATAAATTTAAAATATTTTCTAGTTACTGAATTTTTTTTATCAATAAAAAGCATAATACTTTTTCTATTGTGGAATTATAATATAGATATTATATATATAAATAAGTGTTGATCAGATTTGATGGAAAACATTTCCATATTTTTTATTTATTTGAAAATAAAATTATTTGATTTGCAAAAAATTGTTAAAATAACATATTTATTCTTATCAATTTTTACAAGCTAAATATCTTTATATATAAACGAATTAAAAAATATGAAAATGTTTTAAATTAAATCTGCATGTATCATTTATAATCAACAACCCTTAACCTTATAACCTAATTACTTTCTTGTTTAGCTTAATCGCTGCCATTTTTAAGTTAAATAGGGTCATTCTTTATGACAACTGACAGTGATTAATTTAACATTAAGTTTAAACGAGGCGACATTAATGATAATACTTAAAAAGGGAAGGGATAGTTTAAAATGTTATAAATTTTTATAATTTATAATTGTATAAAATAAATTCAAAAAAAATTAATAATTATAATAGTATTTTTTTTTACATATTATAATATTTATTATATAAAATAGGAACCTTTTCATTTTATGATATGATTGTGCATATATAAAAAAATGTATCAAATTTATATTTGACATAAAGACTTAATATGTAGTCGATCTTTTTCTCTTTGGAGGTTTTAGCACGAACCTAAAAAAAAATTATTTAATAATTATAAGTTTTGAAATATGATTGAATTTAAAGCCTGATAAATTTTAATCAATCATTGTTAGATATTACGTTTATTAGAAGAATTCTAAAGTCCTATTCCCCTATTCTGCAAAAAATTTTTTCGTATTAATTTTATTTTTATTTATGATATTTTTTTTAAACGAGTGCTCCCATTTTTTAGTATAAATGTATTTCTCTTCTTTTTAGCATCTATAATTCACACCATTCACTTATTTATTAATATAAATAATTATCTACTTTCCACATGGACATCTTAGCCTATGCATAATAACAACCCTATATGCGCTGATTTAAATTAAGATTTTGAATTCGCACAAAAACACATTATATGAGATAGAGTCCCAATAGGCGGGTCTTAGAAGACAGACCTACCCATTATTTGAAAAATTTTAGCCTCCTACCTGCCCGCTCTATGTTTAAAAATTATTCTATTGGTTGGTTTGGTTTTTATTCAATCTTGGTTATATATATTTATTTTTTTATAAAACATCCAATATTTTGAAATAAGGAATTAATTTTTAACAAATATAAGTAGACCCTGCTCAGCCCACTCATGAAATATTTTAAACGAACTTTACCTTTCGTTGTTTAGAAATATTTTTATGCGTCGTTCACCCATCGTCTAAATTATTAAGCCTTGAGGACATGCTAAAAACCAGCCCATTGCAGGACTAATATTAAATTTACAGATATCTTTGGAGATGTATTAAAATAACTACACCTTAGTGGAAACTGCAACTGCCGGCCAATCTCAACCAATAATTCTGAATATATTCTAGCAGAGTGTTGCTATATTATATTTATAAAATGGACATTTGTTAAAAAGTTGACTTTGGAACTAGTATAGTTAATTTATTACACAAAGAAGTATTCCAAGAACTAGCAAAAATATAATATTTAATAACCCTATTAAAATATGGCCCCTATATATCTATACCTTACACTACTCTAAGTACCAATTTCAAAATTTTAGAATTACATCTATAATAAATAAATATCATAAGTGTGATCTCTTTTAAGCACTAAAGGAAATATGATAGGTTTATATAAAGCTAAAAGCGATTGCCTTTCAGCAATTGTTAAACTTAATAATGCAAATACAGGAAAATACCAAAGGAGAAATTTTGAACTAAGCTAATAATTTTTTTCGATTTAACATAATTGCAGTCAGCAGTAGCAGAACTCCTGGAGTAATTTTCAGTTTCAGATCTCATATCTAAGATTCAAATATCAAAAAGTTAACAGAGGTAAGAATACAGTGGATTTTTATAATTAAAATAGGTATACTATATATTTACTTGTATAATAGCACAGCTATGAAGCATCCAATTAGTTCTGCTATGTAATAAACGTATTGAGTATTCATGTGATGGTAATGATCTCTCCCCTTAATCATAATATAAACAAAAGATGGACCCAAAACTCTGGCTGGATTCATTGCTGCGCCGCTAACAGTACCACTTATATTTATGTTTATATTTATATACTTTTTAAAAGTAATATGTAAAATATTATATCAAAGAAATAATATTTATATAAAAGAAAAAAAGGGAAGAAATAATGATCACCTAGCATAAATATGCATATCTAGACTATATTTTCTTTAACTTACACATCAGAAAATGATAATTTTATATAATAGTAATCGAGAAAATCTAAATATAAAATTATGATAATATATATAAATCATACCCAGCTATTACGGCCGCAATAACAGTTAACCCAACAAGGAATGGTACTATATAAGAGGGCACCCCCGGCCCAGCATAACTATTGCTGATATGATCCGAACTTCCATCATTTTTATCTTGCAAAACTAGTGCCAAAATCAGGAGCAAAAATGTGGTCGTAAGAAATACCTCACAGGTTATCACGCCTCCCAACATCTGTTTTTGAGTGTCGAAAGTAACCATCCCACCAAGATTTTCTTCGTAAATTTTGGCATTGGTAGATATCTAGTTAATTTTTTTAGATAATGATTATTAAATAAATACATCGTCGTTTTATTATTGCCTGTTTTTTAAAAATATATATAAATATCTGCCTCTACCAAAGAATGCAATACGAGAACTTTCAAATGCTGTATGATTCCTTTTTAGGAACTCAGCTCAAAATATTTAAGCACCCGTATATTTTTTTTATTTATAAAAAAATTGATTCCCCCATTAAAATATTAACCATTAATTTAAGATAGCCAGTTTAAATCAGACAAAATATGCGGTCGCAAATGTTTTCTGTCCTTATATATTTTGTTTCTTTTAACACAAATGAAAAATTAAATATTAAACAAAACTATACTATCTTCTTATTACATAAAAAATTGTTGTCAAAATTTTATAATTTTTGTGAAAATAAAATAAACGCCCTTAGAGGGAGTTTCATATTTTCGAGCTGCAAATAATAGGTTTTGTTAGATAAGGATAATTTTTTTACATAATTTATGGTATTATGACAGATATTATAGGTGCAAAATATATAATTAATTCTTTAAGTAATTTATATATATCTGAATATTTAAAAATTCCGAGGTAATAATTTATATTTTTTATTTTCTGAAAATTTAAAAAATTCGACATCACCATAAAGGCAGGGTTGGCAGGGAAAACGTATTCGATTGTTATAATTTTTCATAAAAAATTGGAAGGGGGGCTCTCCCCCAACCTTCTTTTTCTAAGAGGGTTAATGAAGTTAATTTAGGATTAAATAAAATACTAATCATAAAATTATAAAATATTTATAAAAAATAGTAAAAATTTAAAATGACTATTTTATTCATAAATCAGGGTAAAACAATCATTTAAGTGTTTTTAAACAAATAAATATTTATAAAAATTTTTTTTATAAAATGATATTTATATTATATTCATTTTAGACTTTATCAATCAATTGCAGAGTTGTTAAAGGATCTAGATACAAGTATCCTAGATACAATCCTGTATCTAGTTATAAAAATGTGGTATCTGTATCTAGATAGATTTTTGATTAAAATATCGGTATCTAGATATTATTTTATACGATGTATCTGTATCTAGATCCATTTAAAAAGTATCTTTTAACAACTCTGATCAATTGTCAATCATCAAGTTAATTTAAATATTCTTGTAAAAATATAATTGTTATATTGTGTACTAGCATCAAATTTTTAATTTTAATCAAAAAATAATTGATTCAAATTTTTAGCACATGTTTATAAATAGAGAATTTTGGTTAACTCTTTTAGGATTATATAAATTGGAAACGACTAACAAAATATTACATTTAAACTTATTTCCCAGATCACCTTTATTGAAATGACCATAATATACTAAAATAAAATATATTTAAACATTCTAATTGACTCAAAAGTTATATATTATTTATATTCGAAAGTGGAATTAAACCAATATGGCATCTATTTTTAAATTTACCAATGTTTAAAAATATAAAAAGGATAAAATTTTATGTTTTTAATAAATTTATAAAAAGGATAAAATTTTATGTTTTTAATAAATTTATAAAAAGGATAAAATTTTATGTTTTTAATAAATTTATAAAAATATGAATTTAGATGATTAGAAGTAAAATCAAATATATAAGATGAGGGTTCAGTCAATCTAAGTTCTATTTAGTCATTTTTAAATTACTATTCCTCCTGATATGGCTGGTAAAATATGGTATTCATTAAACTACTTATTTTTTAACATATTTTTATACTTTCTTTCTTTCCTTCTCCTCTAGTTTTTTTGTTCTTTTTCAATCACTTATCTTTTTTCCTATATTCTATTTTTATATTTTACACCTATATTAATTTTATCTTAGATCATATATTATATCATTTAATTTACTATTCAAATAAAAAAACCAATGACCAGTTTTATTTATATAAATAAAAATAAACTTTTTTGCTATAGCAAAAATAAAAAATTATATAAGTAGTTTTTTAGAGCATCGGAAAGTGAAGGTGATATTTTCTTGCGAGAATTTAGTTATTTTTTTTTTTACTATAAAGAAGCAAAAGTAAGAATATATAACACATTTTTAACTTTAAATATATCTATTCTTCTAATTTATATTTCTTCGAAAGAAAAAGAAATGATCTTTCAAATACTCATATAGTCAATAAAAGTGGCAAACATTCTAAAAAAAATAATCAAAAAAGAAGCTAGAGCTCGCGTCAAACTAGTTCTTGTATTTCAATCAAATTCTAGAAGAAATGATAAGATAGCAGCAGAGCTTAAATTTAAAGATTATGTAGGAAATGTATCTTAGGGCATAAAAATAATAAATCAATTTTACAATTTTAATTTCTAGATATAAATTCTTTAAAGGAACAACGAAATATCGATAAAATGAATAATAAAAAGAGTTGACCATGGCATCTTTTAACCTAGATGCTTTGGCTCTCCATAATTTAATTATCTCATCTTTTTTTAAACGAAGACTAAATACATATAATAGTGCAGGCAATAGCGTGGTATATTGTTCAATATTGTCAGGAGGAATTTCATGATGCAACGGAAACGATACGGTCTTTGCCTTTTTCTAAACCGGGATGCAACATTGAATTATACAAGAAATCGACAACATACATAGTCAGATTGAAAAGGTTATTTTTTTTGTGATGTCACATTAAATTCATCCTAAAAACAAACTTTAATGTCCCTTAGGTTTTTTGCGATTATTACGAATAGCCAACAGATCAAAATCAAGTAATGTTTATCATCTAATCAAAATGTTTTTATTAACATAACATGATTTTTTTTTTCAAATTAAAATGTGGGTTGTAGTATATTTTAGAAATTTCAAAAAATGTGGTATAATTGTGATAGCTAGTGAGTTGAATGTGATAGATTTCGACTTCTTGAAAAAATTATAGTAGTCTACTAGTCAATGTGGTAGATCTGACATCCCTGCTGCTATATCTTAAACAAGTATTCAAAGATTTTGATCTCTAGATTTTTTAAATAAAGATTTTTTTTGAGAAATACTCAATTCGATCAAATCTTACATAAAATACCAATTTTTTTCTTTTATAAGTAAAAATCTTTCATGACGAAATTATAAATTTTTTGAAAAATGATTTTGATCTTCTTAAAAAATATCTTTTTTTGTGATCTTCAAAGATTCTTCGACGAAAACTTTGGGCAAAAAAACTCTTATTTGATGCTATATTAGTTAAATTTAAAAAAATCTTATGGAAGCCAACAAAATATTTAGAAAAAGTGAGTAAAGCTCCTAAATCAGGCTCATTATAAAAAAAATATTTTATCATAAGTTTTTTATATTTAATTTTCCGCTCTAATTTTTACAGCCTTTTTAAAATGGGGGCGAAAAAAAATTTTTAATTTGGCCTTTCTCAATTATTATTCTTTTTTCCTCCTAAGTTTACACTAACATCTTCCTTATTAAGGGAAAAATTTTAATTTGGTTTTGATATACATTAATAAAATAAACTTTCCTTTTAAACCGAAAATCCATATCATACGGAAAAGGAATGAACCCAAATAAAATTGGAAAGCAAAAAGAGAGAATCCAAGTAAGGGTTGGAGAGAGAAAGGGAATGAAGAAAGAAAGATTAAGGAAGGAATGATAAATATAATGATCATCTATTTGCTTTTAGCAAAAATTTTAGAAGATTTATGTAAATTTTAAGTAAGTATAATTTTAAAAAATAATTCTAGAAAAATAAATGGGTTATCAAAATTATAATATTGATTGAGATTTTATTACAAATTTTTACTATAAAGAAAAGACTTAAAAAATTAAATTAATTATTAAAATTCTGCTAAGTTAGTTTGGGAAATTTGATCAATAATATCTAGGGTTATTGTACTATTCATTAATATTTTTTTATTTGGTTTAGTTAGTGGTAAAACACAAAAAAGGGATAAACATAGTTTAAGTATTTTTTTGCATATTTGTCTTTAAGTAAGTGAAGAATTATGTTTTATTTCAATTTAGGTTAGACAGTGACCTATAAAAATGTGTATTTTAAAAAATATATTTCTTTTTCTAAGAAAAGTAAAGGCCTAAATTTATAATCTGATGTTTTTTTAATATTTCCTGGAAAAAAAAATTACCCCTCACTGGAATTATATTTTTTTCCTAAATAATATATTTAAGAATAGAACATTATAAGCGACACCTGGTACTTATGTATGAAATCAAAAATCAAAGTCAAGATTCGGATTGGAAGATTTTAAAAAACATAAGCCTAAGCCGCGATGTAAAGACCAATTGAATCATATGCTACAACATTAAAAATCAACCTGAATAAATTTTTTTGCAAATATAAAAATAATAAAATATAATAACCATCACAACAGTAACAAACAATCATTGGTGTTATGTGAGAGTGATGGTGCTTGGCACTTCTAAAATAATAATTAGCACTCCCTATTTTTTTTATTTTTCAACATTCCCTCCCCCTCCCCCTTCTAAAAGTTAAAAAAAAATTGGGAAAATTTAAAGTTTATTAAAAATTTATAAGAAATTAAAAATGCTGTATAAATAAAAAGTCAATGAGCCACACAAATAAATATATATTTTTATTAGAATAAAAAGATCAGCTTTACAAAGATTAGGTTAGAAAATGTTCTTCATTCTTTTTAAAATTATGCCCAAATGTATTACACTAGATTGTATCATATTGCTAGATAATCTATCTTTTCTTTTATTCACCTGCTTGGAAAATAATGTTCTCGAGGATCTGAAGTTGATTAAATTATTAATTAAAAACTGATACTAAAGAGTTCGACCAAAAACGAGAAAACCGGACCGAAGTTAATCCTCAAAATAACCTTTACATTCTGCAATCTATAATAAAAAATAATAAAGGTTTTTACGACGTAATAATTACCTAAAAAGTAAAATCAAATTATATATTAAATATAAATTTATATTAATAGAAAAAATTTTACACTACATTAAAATAAAATTTAAGAATAGAGAGTTTAGGCATTTTAACGAGCCATTTACACCTATACCTAAAACGAATTATTTGTTATTCGATATTCGATTAGATTCGTATTTTACGAATACGAATAACACAATTATTCGATTCAAAAATTCCAATCGAATTTGAATAAGGAAAATATATTATTCGTCGAATAATTTTTTATATTATTCGATCGAATTATTCTAGATTATTCGACTAAAATAATTTATAGTATTAATAAATAATGGAATTTAATTATATATTATTAATAAGAATTATATGAAATTTTTCCTATTTAATAAAATTTTCTAGTGGAATAATGAAGAAACATTTTATATTTCTAAAATTGTTGTTAACGGCTGTTTTTATTCGAATAACTTCATAATACAAAATAAACTTCCAAAAATTGTTTTAATATGAAGAGAAAGTATTTATTTTTATATGCAATTTTTAACATATATATAATTATAATAAACTAGTAGCTATCACGTCAAGAATGACGGGCGAATCAAATATTTCTCTTTCGTTTGAGATGAAATCATAAATTTGACTTTTTGCCTAAAATTTTTACCAGTTTATTTGTAAAATATTGCTAGATATGAGTTTTGCATACCTTATTTTAGATTGCATAGCTTTTTGACGATTTATTATTTCCCTACAATTATTTGTTCATATACAAGGTACTAATACTCTATTAACATTTTTTTAAATAATGGAAATTCAGTAACCACCTCTCATCAAAATAAATTTTTAGTTCACATCTCGATAGGCAAATTTCTAATTTATCCATCATTAAATGAAGGAGAAATAACTGATTTACCAATCATTATACGGTTAACTAATGAATACTACACTACACTATTTCAAGTTTATAAATTTTAAAAAACTTATATTATATATTATTTTAGTTTATGTTAATAACCAATAATTAAATGTCAAAGTATATTCTAAAATTAAAAACATGCTTTTTAATAAATAGATAAAAAAAAATATATTATTAATTTGGAGATAATCTATAAATTTTGATTATAGGTGGTAGTGTTTGGGATTAAAGATTACCATTCAATCTCAGTAGGAATTTCTTATTGCCGAAAGAGAGACTATTAATACAAGAATCTTCAACCCCATGTGAGTAACTCTTATGTTGGAGCGCATATGTTTACCAAATATAGAATATCATTAAAAGAGGATACAATCCGAAAAACTTTGTGTTTAAAAAATTGGTTGTTGTTAGATTTGTCTTCTACATAATATGAACATTATATTGATTTTTCTACATTATATATAAATATACTATATATGTATGCTTCTATTTTATCTTACTAATATAATTTGTTTGTATTTTATCTGTAGTTAAATTTTACAAAATAAATATTCAATCTTTTTTCATTTATGGTTAAATAAAATTAATCATTTTATTATTCGTACGAATACGAATAATGAATTATTTAATTTAAACGAATACGAATAAATATTTGATGCCATTCGTATTTTTTAGGTATATTTACACCAAATCTGTTCGATATATCAGATCTAAATCTGCATAGATATTGATGTTTTGAAAAAAATTTGGGTGAGACCGATTAAAAAAATTAATTTAAAATATAACAATTGGGAAAATTATAACCGAAAATTTATTTACTACTCATTTTCAACTTTCATTTGAAAGAAATCTTAACATACAGCTAAGTTTATTTAAAAATAATAAATAAATTTGAAACTTCAGAATAAACTTGACCGTAAATCAAAATTTATAAAATCCTGTTAGGTCGGTCTTAGAATTAAGAAATAACCAGTCGGCCAATTTTTTTTAAAAAAATAGGGCCGTGCGAGGGATTGGAAATTGAATATTTGATAAATCCGAGACCTCTGCAGCTCTCTGATATTTTTTAATATAATATTTATATGGAAATACTTTTACTTCTCACAATAACCCAATAAATAGACTCAACAAACCCTCAATAAGGCTCATACTTCCCCGAGCTTTTTTTGGCAGAAGAATATATATTGTGGAAAAGTATGTGAGCTCTTTTTTTTATATAAATATTATAAAAATAACCGGTAAAAAATGAGATATTATTATCTATTTTAAAATTATCAGACATTTGATTTTTATCGAAGTTGTTGCTTTCTAGGGTTCTTACAATTCCTATCTTCTCTAAAGGAAAAATATCGTTAGTGTTCGGCGATATTTTTAACATCTTACTCCACTCAATATTATCAATCAGCACAGCATATCCATATAATTTTTCACAAGGAACCAGAAATAACGTTTCAAACGGGAAGAAATATTAAAAATTATAAGATTTAAGGGGTCTGAAATCGAAAGACCAAAAAACAAATTTTTTTAAAATATTCTAGCATATATCTTTTTATCACAATATTCCTAAAATTGGGGTTTCCTTTCTTCTTCTTTTTTTATAACCCTTAATATTCACTAAAATATTTTCGTCCCTCTTCCTTTCCAATATAATCAAATCTTCTTTTTGTACACAGATCTATTCACCAACTAACCGTGCTGATTGGGAATTACGCTCACACTTCTCTATCTTTTTTAGAGTTACGTGTTATTTTGGACGAGTTCCTAAAGCGTTGACAATATGCCAGCACACGTTGTGATTTTTTGTTTACTTATTTTTGAAATAAAGGTTCAATGACCGGCCTGCCTTTTTTTATATAAATTTTTTCAAATTTGAATTTCACCCCCTTTCCCCGAAGTTAGAAATACTATTTTATAAGCAATAATCAAGCAAAACACGCAAAAATAGTGTTAAAATAAATATTAATTTAGAAATTTATTATAAATAGAAAATCTTATTCTTAATCTTAAATATTTGAAAAAAATATACTTCCGAAATCACTTTATTCTAAATCCTTTCCTTCCTCTCCTTCTAGTATTTTAATATCATTTTAAAAATTCCGATATTATAAAAAAAATTTACGAAAAATAAGCCGGAGGCTAAAATAGAGCCGATAAGCTGGGCGAGAATGTAGAAAAACGCCTTTTTGATTTTGATAGCTCCATTCAATGCAATGCCTAGAGTAACCATTGGGTTCATATGTGCCCCACTATTACATTATGAAGGCATACAATAAAGCGATAGAATAATATATTCTTTAAGAAAAATTTCTTATATTCTTAAATTAGCATTTTAAAATTTTTTAACTACTTATTAAATGCAACCGCAAGACACCTAGAAAAAAAATTCTAACCATATTCATGATTATAATTGGTCATAACTTAGTAATATAATATTTCTTTCCTTATTAGAATCTTCTAAATTTTAAACCTTATATTTCCGAATAGGGCTACGAGAACGATCACAATTAGACCATGGGTCAAAGCCACACCCGCCAAACCTAAGCCAGAAGTAGACTGCAATGTTCCAAAGTAAACAAGTACCATAGTTGCCAAACATTCTGAAAAGGTAGGTTTTAACCAATTCTGAACGAATTTTCCTCTGTTTGACGAGACCTCGATACCGTCATCTAATGATAAATGGCTCTTGCTGTTATGATTGATGTTGTTGGAATAAAATTTTTTAACCCCATCATCGACGTTTCCGCGCGTCAAACCTTCTCGTCCATAGATTATGTCAAATTCGATGTTTCCGTCGACGACTTTTGTCGCGTTGCCATTATTTTCGGATTTTTTGACCAAGCTAAAATTGGAATCTAAAATTTTACTATCGTTATTATTTTGTAAATGAGGCTTACTAGGGCCTATATTCAAATTCGAATCATTTTTGATTAGTTCTGTCGAATAATAATTATTGTTGTTATTAGTATTAGTTTCCGATAATTTTTGGTCGTTTTCATTAATCATTTCGTGGTTCGCGAAAGCTTTATAATCCTTAAAAAATGGTTTTTAATAAAATAATTTTTTTGATATAAAAAGAAGATATTTTTCTTCAAACATAAAAAAAATATAATATTTTATACATAGATTTTATATTACACAAAATACAGTTTTTTTTATGAAAATTTGTTATGAGATAAAAAGTTGTTTTCAAAACTTTGAATATTTTTATAGAATACATAAAATGAGGGTGAAGGGGAGATTTTTTTATAGAAGGAAAAGGGCGGGTTTTTTTTTTATATAATATAATATTTTAAATAGATATTTTTGACATAAATTAAAGGCTAATTTATTCGTGAATAAGATCGTTTTGCCATTTGAGAATCTTTTTTTTAAAAAAAATAAATCTGGAATAAAGCCATTTAGGTTTGTTTACCAACCCTTTCACGTTTCAAATGATGAATTACTATTAATTATTTAGAAGGAAAAAAAATTGTTTTTCATCACATTTTTGGCCATTATAATTTTTTGAATAATTAATTTATTTAGAATTGTATGAAGAAATTGACTTTATTATAAATTACTATATGGTAATAGTGTATAAGTGTAATCATCAATAAAATGACGAATAAATGTCCACGGATACCTGTTTTTTCCAAGTCCTTGGATTCCACATTTGAGTGAAATCCAATACCGTATTCTGGAAGGGGGTTTCAGTTTATATCTTTTTCCATTTTATTAATTTGCATGATATTAACTAGGAAATTATAAAAATTATATCAATCTTTCAATTTTTAAACTTAAATCACAAAAATAATATTTGTTCTTAAAACATTTTTTTAATCAGTATTGCGTTTTTATGATTAAAATATAAAAACCAAAAGAATTAATAATATTAAATGTTAGAATGACCGGCGGTTATCACTTTAGTTCAAAATGTTAAAATAAAAATAAGAGACAAATACAATTAATATTGCAGTTGCAACATATTAAATTAATTGCTCTACCTGGAAATATTTTCCTTTTACATTAATCACTATATGTTTATAATAGGTAGGTAATCGATCCGAAGTGAACGTAAAGGCTCGAACAAAAATATCACAATTTTAATAAAAATTTTAAAAGCTTAGAAAAAGGGAATCGTTTTAAAAAAAATAATTTCTTCCACACTTAAATGTCAGTCTTAATTAAAGAATATTGATAATTATGATGCGCTGCCGCTGTTTTTATACAAATTTTTATTTTAAAAAACCGTGCGCATTCATGAGGTAATAAGATATTTTTATTTACAATTTGAGACTAAAAAAGAAAGTTTAATGAATATAATTTGTATTTTGGTAAACTTAATAATATATCTAAAAAAAATAGCCGTTTTTTTAATGAAATCTAGTGGGTCAATAGGCTGAGAAATTTATGAAGTGAAGGATCGGTGGCTAAATTTCCTTCGAGACTGAAGCTAGCAAACACAAGCAGTTAGTAATGGGTTAGAGGGATGGGTAGGGTTAATTAATATTATTTAAATATAGTCTTAAAATTTTTTAAAATTAAAGCAACCTAGAATAACCATTAGTTATAAATTCTATATTATTTTTTTAAATTTATAATATAATTAGTGTTTTTTTTACTTTTTATCTTAATAAATACACTTTTTAATAGAAAATTGATAATGCTTATATAATTCGACTTTAAGTATAACAATTCTATATACTATAGATAATTGTTTCGTTTTCAAAAAAATCCCATTTACAATTAATTACTTTTATAACCACATTTATCAATATCTTATATATTTATATATCCATCCATACTACTCTAAATAACAATGAATTAATCATATTTGTTTGTTTAAATATAATTGGATGCGGATCAAAATATTTTGAAAATTATCAAATAAATTATTTTATTCATCAATATACATATCTGGTGATCAGTGTTGTTAAAAGCTACTTTTAATAGTCGCCTATCGCTACGCTATTTTACAAATTTTTGGATAGTTTAAGATTATTAGCAGGCTATCGCTGCCGCTATTTATCAAAAAGGTAGCACGCTACTACTTTTTACGCTATTTTAGATTTTTTTAAAAATATTTTTTACGTATCTCTATTTCCACAAATAAAAAATATGACTAAATTTTCAAATACATATATATTTTTTTTATTACATCTCAATAATAATAACATTTCCATAATGTCATCCCCAAGTCTAGAGGGACGATCAGAAAGTATAATCTGACTAAATAATTGTTCAACACTAGCACTTGAGGGCAATGGAGTATGGCCGGGCAAATTTTTTTAAAAAAATATCGAGCCGGACTAGAAAAATGCTCCATGCAAATTATACTTACGAATTATTATATTCGACTTGATTTATATTTTACGAATACGAATAATAAAAGTATCGAATACTTTTTTTCATCTATTATTCGATTGAATTATAGAAATTTTTTGGGAAATAATTTAAAAATATTCGAAATTGTTTGAAATATTCGAGACTATTCTTAAATATTCAAAATTATTAAATATTTGTAACTATTTATAAATATTTGAAATTACTCTTAAGTATTTAAAATGTTCCATCTATAAATCATTTTTTTAAATTTCAATAATCCATTTTTTCATTTAGAAAATATTTTTAAAGAATTTAACTTTCAAATCAAATATTCCACGATCGAATAATATGACCGTGCCGGTTAAAATCTAAATTCTAACTGCTGAAAATATTTTGCCATTTGCAGACATCTATTGGATACTAGTCCCAGTCATTGATAGTATTTTAGAATTCTTTTTAAAATTATTTTTTTATTGAATAAGAAATATATTCAATAAATATATTCAATGTTATTTATAACATTTCGCCCATTTTTTAAATTTATCTTCATTTTATCTTTATTATTCGATTTCCAACATCATAGGCGTAACCAGAAGAGCAAGGGAAAATCCCCAATTTGAATATTGTCTGTTCTTGTAAATATTATTTTAGCCTTTCCCCCTACACACCCCCCGCCACCCTCTCCCCCTAAAATTTATACAATATCACTAAAAAGAAGAATCTGAAGAAAAAAAGTAGTAAAAGTGAGTAACATTTTAAAATATTTAGGAAAAAAGCATTTTCATAAAAGAAACTGAAAACCAAAAATTATTTTTATAAAAATCACCCAAAGGCCTGCAATAAGTAGTCCTAAAAATTCCATTAAAATTTATTGAGGAGGGGGGCCTATTTTAGTGCCCACCTCCTTAGTAAAATCTATTCCACGTCTATGCCAAACTAAGTACAATATCATTTGAGAACAATATCTCACATCGTGTTTTAGGCCCAATTACCTAAGTAATGTTGCAGATCAGCGTCAAGGAGCTGTGTAAGTTGCTCCATACCCGGTCTAGAATACCATCAAGACGGAGTTTGTTATGACGAGGTCAACGCTAGGATACAAGAGGGTTGATTGAAATATAAAAGAATATCAGGAGTTCTTTGTGACAGACTATTGTGGCTTAAAGGTAAGGCCTATCTTGTTAGACCTGGCTTGTTTTATGGGTATAAAACTTGAGCATTTCGTCTGCCAAGAAATGTTGGATGTAAGTAAAATGTTAATTATCCAGTGGAGCTTAGATTGCACACAACAGATTCGTATGATCAATGATAACTTAAGAAAGAAGATGACCGTAGCTCCCTTGTCGGAAAAAATAAAGAAGAGTAAACTAGATAGTATTGACACGTGGAGAGGACTGATACAGCTAATGTGAATGTCCAAGTTCTCGATTTTGAATCGGGCTAACGAACTAGAGGCTGGCCACGACTAACTTAGAATTTTCAAATCCGCAAGGACATGTTGGATAAGAAGATTGCAGTTGTTAGTTATTACCCAAAGCCGAGCCGTATAGAAGAATAGGGCGCATTCTAAAGTCCCCAATTAGTTTTGGGATTAACATGATACAGAAGAGAGGACTTCAGTAATGGCGTCTTTCGTAGTAATAAATAAGAACGATTATGATGATCCCCGATTGACTCCGACATCTTTAGGGAAAGAGGCCGTTTATTACTCTGGATATCGTTTGTATATATATAGAATGTCTTTTGTACATATTTTGAATTAAATTTACATATGTTTTGGGACTTTGATTTTACTAAACTCGGATTTTATCGAAAGAATTTCTTTAGATCCACATTGCACATTTAATTTTTTTCTCTTTTCCATTATATTTTGCAGAAACAGCATCGCCGTTGATGTAATAGGCATAAATTCAAATAGGATGTCGTCAATTATAACAATTCTCCTAATATTTCTTTCCAACAATTTTCACCCTTACTTTAAATATTGGCTCATCAGCTTAATTTGCCTATATTTACATTTATGAATGTATCCTTTATTTTTAAAATAGGGTTGGGGTAACCTTTTGTCATTCGTCTCTGGCATCTGGCTTAATTCCCATTTTTCACTATAAGTTTGTTAAAACAAATAAATTCTCTTGCCAAAAGCTTCTAAAATATCATCCAAATCCGTGTCATTTTTTTTGGAGAGAATCAGTAATTTATGATTTAAGATTTTATTATTATTTTCACTCAACTATATATGGGGATTTTGAGTTATCCTTTAATTCCTTTGTAATTTTTTCTCTTTATTGGGAGTTATATGAGTTTCAGCTGTAAATAATTATGTATATTTATCTTATATTCATTTTATCTCCGTTATCTCCTTCGCTTTTCTAGCCCTTTGTGGCACCTTTTTAAACATCTAATTTTCCTCTTCTACTATTTACGCTATTATTTATGATTTATTTATTTCTGTTTATTGCTCTCGTCACACGTCCATTCGTATCACTCAGGCGCGTAGCCAGGAATTTTCTACCGGGGTTGAGGGTGGGGATATAATATTTTTATACTGAAATGGTTTTATTTAGAGTATTAAATTATAGAATTAATATTAGAACTAATGATCATATAAAATTTATTAGAACCCATCATATTTGAAAATATTATAAATTCGAATACAAATAATAAAATATCGGAGCGAATATAGGTTAAAAAATATTACAGCGATATAAACTGGTATGTAAAGTAAATCACAATAAAATATTTAATTAAACATTTTGTAAAAATCTAAAAAATTTAGTCAAAATATCCTTCATAAATAAAAATTTAATCTTCTTTGCGATTGCGCCAATTTTTTAATAATTTGTTTTGATTAGATTTCGATGAGTAAAACTAGTCTATTCAATCTATTTTAAGATACCATACTTTTGATATAAGTTTTTACTCTGTAATGAAGAAAAGGCCCTCTCATTAGGGCTTGTACTAATTGATATCATTGCTAAAATATACAATAATTTTAATAATAGGGAAAACTTATAAAATAATTTTAAAGTATGCAATGCTTCCACTCTATTTCCTTGAGTATTATCTACAAAAATGAATCTTTCATACCATTTAAATTCTGAAAATAATTTGTCTTCAGATATATTTATATCCTCATAATAAAATTTAGCTAAATATTTTTTCAATATCATGATTTGATATATCCTCAGATCAGAGAGAGTTATGAGATATAATATTTGTAAATTGGATATAGCCATTTGATAAATCATAAATCGTTCATTGATTGAGTCAACATTAAATCCGAAAGTGAAATAAAAAGAGTTATTTTATAATGATTCTCATTGAGTCCATGTTTATTGGAACGATTTGTTTGTCGGTATCGAGGCTTCTAAATCTCAAAATCATATAAATTCACTTTTGCCTCAACAATCACATAAATCTCGAAACTGGTCAATATTATCCTATGGTCTTCTAAGTTGTAATATAAT